ATTGACCTTTTTATTAGGGGAAGCAAGCAAGAATTCCTAAGAGTTCTAGCATTTTTTATTTTTGTTACATTCATGCAGGTGATTATTTTGGTAGGCAACAAGGTCTTGCTGCACAGTTGAGAATTTTGTCTACCTATTAAAAACCAACTTGGTGGTGGCAAATAAGAATACTGAGTCAGTTCATTAGACTGAAGCAGTCAGGGAATCCCAGGCTTAAAAACTACTGCAAGTTCCAGATGTTTGATGCTTTACAACAACAGTTTCAGCATCTCTTTACTAGCAGATGCAGCCTTAAAGTCGAACTGTGTAGAGAAAACTGATGAGCATCTGAACAAAAATAATCCATGGTGTAATCTTCAGAGGCTGCTTTACAGCACTGTGTGTAGAAACACCAGTTATCACTACAAGCTTTGGAGTTTTGAAGGCATATATGTTATTTCATCATAATGATGTTAGGTATCCAGTGCAGGTCATCATAATTGTCCAGTGCAGTAGTCACCAACAATGATGGATCGAAGTAAAGCATTACAGGATTAGATTGCTGCTATAGGGTGATTCATCTTTTTATCTCTTCTTTGTCTGCATTTTCATATTCTTCTTCATGAAACTCCACATGACACTGAGGAAATAGCAGACATTTAGGGGCTGGCATGTCAGGTCCATCATCACAAGCCTCTGCATTACAACTGCCAGCACTTTTGGTAGCTGTGCATGGAGCACTTTTTCATCCTCAGTGGCCTGTTAAGAGTTTCATAATCACAGAATCACAGAATCGTCTAGGTTGGAAAAGACCTTGAAGCTCATCCAGTCCAACCATTAACCCAACACTGACAGTTCCCAACTACACCAGATCCCTCAGTGCTGTCGACCCGACTCTTAAACCCCTCCAGGGATGGGGACTCCACCACCTCCCTGGGCAGCCTGTTCCATCGCCCAACAATCCCTTCTGGAAAGAAATGCTGCCTCATATCCAGTCTAAACCTTCCCTGGCACAACTTGAGGCCATTTCCTCTTGTCCTATCACTTACTACGTGGTTAAAGAGGCTCATCCCCAGCTCTCTGCACCCTCCTTTCAGGGAGCTGTAGAAGGCGATGAGGTCTCCCCTCAGCCTCCTCTTCTCCAGACTAAACCCCCCCAGTTCCCTCAGCCGCTCCCCATACGACCTGTGCTCCAGACCCTGCACCAGCTCCGTTGCCCTTCTCTGGACACGCTCGAGTCACTCAATGTCCTTTTTGTAGTGAGGGGCCCAAAACTGAACACAGGAATCGAGGGGCGGCCTCACCAGTGCTGAGTACAGGGGTCAGATCCCTTCCCTGTCCCTGCTGGCCACGCTAGTGCTGACACAAGCCAGGATGCCATTGGCCTTCTTGGCTCCCTGGGCACACTGCTGGCTCCTGTTCAGCCGGCTGTCAGTCAACACCCCCAGGTCCCCCTCTGACTGGCAGCTCTCCGGCCACTCCTCCCCAAAATGGCAGTGGCTGTGCAAAAAGTGTTCATATGGAGTGACAAGAAAGGACTTGAGCTTTCAACTTGTGATGACAAGATGTGGGGTGCTGGGGCCTTCTGCTAACTTCTGATAAATACCGAACCCCCGTTGAGGAAAGATACATGGTGCATAGGGGTACTTAGTGGGGTAAAAAGCAGGTGTAGTTGAATACATATCATAAATGCATGCCAATCACATAAGGTAGTTATAGTGAACCATCTCATTTAAAACTAACCTTTCTCTCCGCTTTTTTCCTCAAAGGTAACAAGTCTTTGGATTTTTACAACAAAAAATTAATTTTCCTTTTGATGTCAGCCTGAGTTCTTATCTAGAAAACGTTCTATACTCTGTATGTTAAATATTGTATATGATTTGTCCATTTTCCTAATAGCTGAACTCTGCTGTGTTAGAAATGTGGATGTGTATTCAGAGCATCTTCACCTAATTTTATTTCGAACCAGGATGTTTATATAGACAAACTTGCACCTAGTTAATCTCAAAAAAAAAAGGCCATTACTGAATCTTTGCAAGACCGTTTAAAATATAATACTGTATGTTACATATATAGATATATTTGTATTTACATCTACATATAAAATATTTATATATAAATATATTTTTAAATACTAGAAAACATCAAAAGAAAATCCATGATGACTCCAGGAGCATTATGATGCAGCTTCAGAGCTTGTCTGGAAATCACCTTTTCTAGTTAAACTTAGAGGTCATTTTAGTGTCTGGTTTTCAGTTTGTTTTGGGTTTTTTTCCTCTCCTCTTTTTGCATGCTAAGATAAGTCAGTGATAGAGGAATTTGCACCCCCTTCCCAGATGTTGTTGGTTGGAACTGACTCCAATCTGTAATCAAAACCATCTTCTCAGTGGAAGAATACCCTTCTCTCCTGCATAGTAGCTGGTTGATTTAACTGCTTTCTTCATTTGAGTTCAATAATGTGCATTACAACAGTAACACAACAATTTTATTTCATCTGCTAGCATGAGAGGAAGTTTTTAAAAAAGAAGGGCTTAATATTATCAAGGGCCTCACCCAGCTCCCAGATTCGATGCTGATTTTTTCTGTATCAGATCCTATGCTAATCCGTAACCACAAAGGCTGTGATCTGGCATCTTCACGTGTTAAAGATATTACCATCTCGGGCTTGCTGGCAGCAGATGGAGATTACCTGCATCCAACTGTAGAAATCACATGAGTTCTAATTCACATGAGTCAGCCAGTTTGCCTTAGTATCTGAAGAAAATGATTTGCCTGAAGTTCACTAGAGAAAACTAATATAATCCCTTTTACCACAGAAATTATAACCTCCAGGAGAGGGGTTGCTGTTTACAAAGTGCATATGTGTTCACAACCCATTTCTTCTCATGCTTTGCAAATGAAATAAAGTAAATGGAATGTTTTATGGCTTCAGTAATAGCTGGATCAGGTAAGAAATAAATTAGTATACTTATTTGTGTTCTGTTTTGGTCATTATTTTGGAAAATATGTATATATTGTTCCACAGCTAATGCTTTCTTAATCAAAAATATAGAAAACCAAATTCTGGAGTAAAGATTTTTCACTTTTTCTTGTGCATACCCATTCTAACTATTACACTATATATACATGTGCATGTATATATATGTGTGTGTGTGTCTGTATTTGTATTGATTTCTTTCAGATGTAAGAAATAAATATATTCCTGTTTCTTCCAGTTGGTTATATTATTCCCTCTTATATATTTTCAATTCAAAGCTGTGTGGCTTCCTTTGTTTAATAAGAACACAAATTTTTAGGTGAATTGTCAGATACACAACACAGTTTGGTGCTATGATTAATACTGTTAAATTTTGGTCTTAATAGCTGTAAATCTTTTTTTAGGAAGTCAGCTTATTCTACTCTGTTCTTCCAAGCAAAACAGCTGATAAACAAATACATACTTTTAAAATGGAAATACTTTCAAGCTAGATGAATTCTGAAAGTGTACATTACTCACAACATTTTGTTGACCTTAAAACTTTTATTCCTTTACTTTTTCCCTATCGTCATGTCATTTAAGTCTCAGTTTGAGAACTCTATAGAAATCTGTATAGGAATAGAGATCTTTTGGTTTTTTATCCAAACAAATCAATTTAAAATGGAACCTGACAATTTCATGAAATTAATTATACGTATTTGCTTACAGTTAAAGGATACTGGTATGAGTGATTCAAATCATCAGTGTAAGTTCCAACAAATATATACTATCAGAATGTATTGTCAGAACACCAACCCCATACTGAAATATCTTATTGATCAACTTATGGATGTGCTTAAATGTTTACATGAACAAAAATAGGTATTGGCATATGATAATATTCTTCCCTTTAGCAGGCAAGTCTTCTTGGCCAAACTATGGTTGCTGTAATTGGCTGAACTAAAGTCTGTGGAGAAGACACAGTGGAAGCATAGTTCTTAATGTTCTTATGAAGTCTCATACCAGCACTTGCCTGTATGTCTTTCAGTGACAGGAAAAACTTTTCAGCACATATTTATTTAAAAATAGTTATATTTTAATATGATTTTTTAAAATCTGTCTAAGATATAGGGTAACTAATTTTATATAGTTAAATTACTGTGAGAATTATTTTCTGAAGATGTTTCTAGGCTCTGTTTTTATAGCCTAGAAGCACATTGTTTGTTTCCCCCATGCAAGATATTAAAAAAAAGCAAAGATTGAAAAAGAGTTACATTTTCTGGTTGTTAACTAAACCGAAGGACATGTAAGCCTCTGATTTTTTTTTTTTTTTATCATTAATAATATGATGTAATGTTTGCCGTGTAAATTGTAGCTAGCCATTGTTTTGTGGATAAAATATGATACCCTGTAAACAAGAGTTCTCTGCGTTATTCATGTGCTTTGATTTCTTAATCTGTTGTTGGTTTTTATTTCCTCTAAAAATGTCTATGAGTTCACGTTAATTTATGTAATAACCACAAAATTAAAACTGCAGATAATTAAAATTTTGGGGAGCTGGTAGTAAAGTGCTGGATGCTCATACTTCATATAATATGCTTTGGTAACGAGCAGACATTTACCAGCAAAACAAAAACAAGGGTGGGAAGATGTTACTATTTCCAGCTTCCTAAAAATTTGCATGATGCAATCATTCTGTGCTCTGTATCCTGACTTTTTTTTTTTAATATCTTTGAGACCCTTTAGATTTAAGTAGGCAAATTAAAAAACTTGACTAGGCAAATTAAAAACAAAACTAAGCTGCCTCCATTGTATTAATTAAATTTTTGAAACTTGAAACCTGAAACTGTAGCTTTCAGATTTTAAAAGCTAGAAAGTAAGTCTTGTTAGTAGTGTGGTGGTTCTCTTCTGATTACTAGTTGAGTGTTGCGCCTTTGTTTTAACGAGATTTAGAAAAGGATGCATCTTTCAGTAGAACATGAGGAAAACTGCTTTAATTTGTTTTACCTTTACAAAAATTATGTTAGCGAGCTCTTTGATTAACTTTAGAAAAATTATTTTTCAGCTTACGGAGCACAGAGAGGTTCGTAATACGTATGGTCTAGATTCCCTTTGCCATTGCCCATTGTATGAAGAAGCTATGCACCTAGCAGAAGAAGGCAAAATTTATTCACGAGTGTTAAGGTACTGGTTTATGTCTACTTATTTCCAAGTAAAGCAAGAACTGAAGTTAAAAATTCTACATAGAACTATTTTTTTAGAAGTTACTTGTACGAGTTGTTTTTTCTAGGAATTAGACTTAGGTGAATTTTCTTGTGCTTTTTTTAATGGTCTTTGAAAACTTTTCTATTTTACATAGGACTGAAATGTTTGAATGCCTAGGAGACAGTGACTTCCTTGCTAAGCTTCATTGTATTCGACAAGCTTTTCAGGTAAATAGTAAGGAGAGTGATTGCCTGATTAAGCCTTAAGTATGTGTCATTGAAACTATCAATGCATTACCTGTGCAAGCATTTTTTTATAGCATATTCTGTAATTAAATATTTTCTTGTTGCTTTTACATTTCTGTAATTTGAAAATGGGACATATTTGCAGAGGAGTCCCAATTTTATGATTAGCTTTGAACCTTTGCACTGAAAGCAAATTAGGAACTTGCCTACTATACTAGTGGTTATAATTATGTTAAATTTGATTGAAGTGTTTAAGGTCACTTAGTATAATCTGTGAATGAATATGTCTATATTTTCTGAAACCTTTTCTAGGTAATTCTTTCAGAAACAGCAAACAGAGTATTTCTTGCTGAAAGTGGAAGAAAAATTTTGTCTGCTTTAATTGTGAAAGCACGAAAGGTAAAAGCCTTTTTTAACTAATGTTTTACTGTTAATATAACTTCTGCCAGAATTCACTTTGCACAGTAAAAAAAAAATATCTCTTGTTATGTTGCTTGATACTCATTGCTTTTACTTTACAGAATCCAAAGAAATTTGAAGATGTCTTTGATGAAATGATATATTTTTTGGAACAAACGGATCACTGGGATAATACTGAAATGGAACTTGCTGCTAGAGGAGTGAGTCTGAATTTCTGAAAACTGCTTTTACCCTTAATTATGCAAACTGTAGCATCTAAAAATAAATTTTTACAGTTCAGAACTGTGGGAAAGGCAACTCTTTTTTTGTTTACACTGCTGATTTAGAGAAATGGCATCCACCATTGCAGTTTAGTACCAGAAAGCACATAATGTTTTTTTTAACTTCTCCTTTACTGACAAAGTGTCTTTACTAGTCATTAAAAACAATTACACATTTGCATGTTAATACAGAGTTAGAATATGGTGCATGCTGAATTCCACGGCTGAAAGAGAAACTAGGTTACTTAGATCATGTTCTGATTTAATATAGGTGAAAAACCTGAATTTTTATGATGTTGTTCTGGACTTCATATTAATGGATTCATTTGAAGATTTAGAAAATCCACCAATATCTATACAGAATGTAGTAAATAACCGCTGGCTAAATTCCTCTTTTAAAGAAACAGTAAGTATTTATGTGTAATTTTCATAATCATCATTCTGTAGTACATACAATAAGTAAATATAACATTGCTGTGAGCATTCTGATATAGAACTTCTGTATATGCTGAAACTGTTCTTCCAGCGATCTGTGCTTTATATTTTTAAAACACAATATAAAACCAAGAATAAATCAAACTGCAGGATAAAGACAGTGTGTATTTCCTTGATAACAGCATTAATTTTGAAGCAAAGAAACTACACCGTCCTTCACTCTAAAATCTAACTCAGCTCCCAGTACAACTGAATATGTACCTGAAATATTCCTCAAAAAACATAAACAAGATTTTATTACCAGGTTTTTCAAGATAGCAATTACAAAAGCTACAAGCCTGGTCCAAAATATATGGAGTGATTGAGTGTATTGGAGAAACTACTTTAACTTGTCCTGCAAAATTGAGTTTTCTCTGAGGAAGTGGAATTTTGGAAGGGAAGTTTCTGTTAGCCACATCTTAGGTATTAGAGACAGGTTTTGGTTCATATACCACAGTTTTAGCAATAAGGCACAAAGTTGCAAGCAAACAAAAGTAAGTAAATACAATCAGGGATTCAAGTGTTGATAATATTTCAGCTTTTTCAGATGTGCCTGTTTATTTGTGAAATAGATCTCATCCCTCTGCTACAGACATACAGGCTACTGCCCTGGTCAGCTGGTAGAGATACGATTGTAATTTCTTTCATTTTTATCTATAAACTGCCAGTTTCCCTTTTAATTTTTTGTCTTTCAATTGAAATATTCCCTCTAGAGGGAAAAAAAAAAGGTAACCTGCACATATTTATTTTTGTAGTTGTGTGATAACATTCTGTTTTGTGAGTTGTAAATGATCTTGCAGTACTGAAGGAGAATTAGATGGGGATAGTTATAGGCTATGAGGGGAAAAAGCCTAGTACTGATACTGGTATATTGTATTTCACAGGTCCATATTTGGACAAAACTCCTTAGCTGAATCTGAAGCTATTGCAGGAATGTTTTTGCTAAAATGAAAAAGGACATTTCAATGTGTTCACATACTACTTAATATCTAAAATAGTTACTTATGTCTGAGCACACACTTTGGTATATGAGTGGTCCTCAGTTAAACCCAGTGAATGTTGCTAACTGTTGCAACTGTAAAATCAGTCAAGGATGCCAAATCACATTTGAATTAAACTAAAGAAAATGTTGCGTTAGATCTGAAAATAACAAATATTAATTACATATAAAACTATTTATTTGCATCAGCTGATGTTTTGTAGTCTTAAACGTTGTGTTATCACATTGAGACTGAAGAAAATATATATCCCCAAAATACAGAAATACAGTATTCCACAGATCACTTCTTTTGAGATGAAAACTAATTTCTCTTATAGTGAAGTTACAGAGGATTTGGGGCTTTTTTTTTTTTTCTTTTTACATATAGGCTGTGGCGTCAAGCTGTTGGTCAGTACTGAAGCAGAAAAGACAGCAAATGAAGGTAAGTTGCCTAAGTTTCCTTGCAAATTATGTGGACCAAAATTACAAATCAGCTCCTAAGAATTTGAAGTTCTGTTTGTAGGTTTGGCAAAATAAATTACAGATCAATCCTTAATCCTGTAATCGTGTTTGTTTAGGCAAGAGGCTGCTAATTGTAGAATTTTAGCTCATGGGGCAAAAAGTCGTAGCTGAAAGGTTTTTCAACCAAGTTTAGATCCCATCAGCAGTGGTGGCAGTAATTTCTCTGACTTATGGCCCCACACATGCACCTTGGATTTTTGCAGACCAAGGTCATTAATCTTGTATCTCACCTGCTTACGCTACGTCTCCCTGCATCATCTCCACAGCTAAATAAAATTCAGTCCTGTTCCTTTACCTACCTGAAGTACCATCTTCCTTGCCAGTGGCAGGAACTCTATTGCAGCCTCCCTCAGCCCCCTGCTGCATCCTGAGCTCTCAGTGAAGGAACTCTGCAGATATTGAAGTAGAACTCCTCTGTGCCGGCAGCTCCTTACTTCGACCTTTGGAGGATTTTACTAGACCTAGGAGGCAAATGCCCCTCCTCTGTGATAGCCAGTCCAACAGCAGAGTTGAGGCTTGCTGCAGGACATCCCTAGTCATTAGAAGTGGTTTTGCATACTGCAGGTGAGGAACCTCTGCTCAAGTGATTGGCTCTGACACCTTTCTCTGATTCTAAGAAAAGCTATTTACGTGACTCCTAACTGATAAAGACATATTTAATCATTAAAAAAGTACCTTACAGTGGCAGTTGGTATTTTGTAAAAGGTCCTCAGCTACCATTATGTCTTAAGGTATGAGATGTTGCATCCCTTTATGTGTGTGTATATCTATATTATATTTTATATGAATAGATCTTTTCTACACTAGTTTTATATAAAGGAATTATACCTCCAAAATAGATGTCATAGTAACCTATTATTTTCATCATTATTGCACTGCACAACTAATTGCCTTACTCTGTAGTTCCTTTGTATACCAAAGTCTCAATATTTTAAGTTTGTAAATGTGTAACTTTACTCCTTGGGCCTAGTTCATCAGTGCTGCTGGAGTCATTCAGAAGTGGATAAAGTTAAGCACCATGGAAGTCTTTGGAAGAGAGAGAACTTAAATTTACTTACAGACAGTTCTTTATGTGGTATTTTATGTTTTAATTTATGATTAATTTCTATTTTTATTATTTTATAAATTAGCTGATGTAAAATGATAAATGTATGTTTATGAGTATATAAAATAAACTGTACATTCATATATGACATAAATTTAAACTATATTATATTTTATGAGTGCCTCTAGGTTGTAAAAGTAACAACAGGATGGACATTCACAGATACTTTGTGTTTTTCTTTAGACTTAAACATTGATTCTTGTAAGGTGTAATTTTTTCCAGTCAGAACTGCAGTTTGCTTACCTGCAAGGTTTCAACTATACATAGTGTATAGGGGCTTAAACAGGAATAACTGAATAAAATTATCTCATCTGTTGTATGGGAGTCAGAGCAGATTGTTCATGATCTTTTGGGGATTATGCCTATTAATCTTAAAATATTTAAAATACGAAGTACCAGTGAAGTAAAAACTTTTTCTAAAACATGACACTTGGTTGCCCTATAACTTAAAGGAGTTGAAGTTACTACAGCCCTGAAATAGCAGGTGTTTTAGGCTTTTCTGAAGATTAGTTTTATGTAATAGAGATTTATACTAAATTTAGTGTGTAACTTTTGTCTACAATTTTTACATCGCTAGGTGCCTGATGGATTTTTTGCACATTTCTATGCCATATGTGAACATATCAGCCCTGTTTTGGCGTGGGGCTTCTTGGGGCCTAGAAATTCCCTTTATGACCTATGCTGCTTCTTCAAGGTTTGCAACGTTTTTTTTAATTACCACTTATCTTCATTTAAAAAAAAACCCTTCCAGATTAAAAGAAATTGGGATCTTATTTATAGGCATATATTTGCATTTTCCTAAGTTTAAGACTAACAATAAGAAACCATGAAAATAAATATTTTCATATTAAAATTTTTTTAAAGCCTAGAACTGTTTTGCAAGGTCTATTTTAGTACACTTTTACCTTTGTACCTAAAGAATACCTAAATGGATGTTTTTAGAAAACATGTAAAGAAATAGCTAACATTGCATACTTCTTTTCTTCTTATAAGTGAATAAAGGTTTTTTCTTATTTTTTTTCCTGCTAGGATCAAGTGCTTTTCTTCCTCAAAGACATTTTTGATTTTGAAAAGGTGAGATACTCAACTATGGAGAGTTTGGCTGAAGATCTTATGCAACTGTTAATCCGACACACTGAACTTTTAATGGCCTATCTTGGAGCAGATTCACTGAGACATGTCAGTGCTTGTGTAAGTGGTCATGGGCATGTCATGACCAGTGGGCTTTTAGAAGCAAAAGTACAGTAAGCTTGAAATCCATGATAAATGAGATGGGAGTGCACTTTGACGTACTCCTTCACACCTATTTCTCTAACGCCGAAGCTATCATTGCTGTTACTGAGCAAGCATCTGAAAATGTATCATGTTGCTAAGTATGGAAGAGGACTCAGGGAGGTTAAATGTACATCTGTGAGAAGAACTGGTGAGCATATTACTGCATTTACCTAAATTAATTTTGCAGCTCAGCTGTCACTGTATTTATACTTAATGTATCCCAAAGCTTTTTTCCGTAATATATGGGTAAAGTTTATTTATGAAGTACTGTACTTTTGCACAGATAATTTGTAAGTGAAGCTGATGGAGTTGTTTCCTTTAAAGGCTTATAGTACAGAATGTTCATTACAGAGTCTCCAAATCATTGTGTGTCTAGATCTAGAAGGTGTTTTGACTGGGTATATGCAGTGAACATGCATATTCATGTGAACATGCAATAAAGTAACCACACTCACAAAAGTGAACATGTTTCCACTGCCATGAAATTACATTTGTGTGGGTGTAAGCAGTCACTTTGTACTACAGTGTAAAAAAGCAATGCGGGAAATGCAGGCACCTTCTGGGCAGGAATGACTTCCAGTATGTATTTTTTACTTTATTTTGTTTTAAAATGTCTAAACATCATCAAGGTGGTTGAAAGCACTTACTTATATTCAAAAAGCTATGCTAGCTTCACCAGGTGATTTAAAACTTTTCCTTTTTCTCAAACTCTTACTACTTTATATAGTGGTGGTAAAGAAACCAATACCATTCTCAGTTCATATGTAGCATTTCAAAATATATTTTTACATAAAGATGTATGATGAGATTTGTTAATCATGAAACAGAAATGAAGGTGGTGTTTTATAATTTAAAAGCATTTCTGTCTTCCCCCCTTCCTTGTAGGAAGTCAGGTGTCTATTTAAGAGGAAATTTAAGCAATTGTGGCCATCTGTGTGCAATGAAAAACCGTGGCTCAGGGTATGGAATCCTGAGCTTTAGACAGGAGCACAGAACAGTAAGAGGGATTTGCAGTGATGGTTTTTTCTGTGCTAGAAGTAATCAGTGAGGATGATCTTTGAATGTGTGTAAACTGAAGCAATGTTTCATAGTGAGCTTAGGCTCTTAAACTACATTTATATATGCTTTGCCACCCAAAATCTGCCCACGGGAATCTATCCTGCGTCAGGTAATACAGAGTAAGTAAGGATGGAGTAATTCGAAATAGTCGGATACTTGAGAAGCATGCTGCTCAAATCTAGCATATTGAAACAAACTTCAATTAGAAACGTTTCAACTTTTGTTGCAAACACAACCCAAAATGATGGTATTAGAAAAGGAGTGCCTGTGTAATTCTGTAGATTTTACTGAAGCTGACATTTTTCTCCTTTGTTGTACTCATTTGATAAATATAAAAATTATGAAAATGTGTCATATGACTTCTGTGAAAAGCCAACTGATTGTAGGTTATTAAAAAAAGTATATTTCTATGTGTAACAGAAGAGAAATTCCAAATGCTTCTGTTGGCCTATTTCCACCATTCAAGTCACTGGACTTGGCACCATGCTCCATGCACAAAGTGTATCCTCAGTGCTGGAAAGTGACATTTTTTTCACCCATCTTGTCTTAGCTTAAACATACTTATCTGCTCAAAAGTATCTGTATTTTGGCAGCTTTTTGCAAATCTATGAATGAAATTATGTGGAACAGTAAGTTGTGTTGTTGGGTTCAGAATCAATAGGAACAGCTGGAAATAGAAGTAACAGAGTAAATGGCATATCCACCGCAGAGGAGATTGCAGTGTGTCAAAAGAAACTGTCTGCTGTGGTTTGTCTGGTCTAATAAAATGATATAAGAAAATCATACCTTAACATTCACCACAGAAAGGCAGAAATGTACTTTTTCACAGAAGTAAGTGTATATTGAAGTGAGCCATTTTCATATTATTTATAAAAAGCTTCTGAAGAAAGTGCAACAGCATTGCACATGAGATGATAAATGTTTCCAGATAATTTAATAGTTGGTCTTCTGTCAAAACAGAAAGGATTTTTTAAAACAGAAGAATGAAAAAGGTCTAATGAAGCATCAATATGTTTAGAAGGTGGGTAAGAACCTGATAATATCTGGCTTAAACAAACGTATCCCTTTAAATCAGGAGCACTCCCATGCACTTGTAAAGCTCTCAAAAGTCCATAAAATTGGGTTGGCAATTGAACTGATGTATTTCCCATCCAAAATAAGAATTACAGTATCTTGTAGTGTAAGATACCACCAACAAATATTTGATTCAGAAACAGTTAAAAACGGAAGAAAGAGAGAGGGAGGAAGAAAGGGAGAAAAAGAGAGAAGAAGAGGGAAATGTGCAGGTTCATGTGGGTAGGCTTTTGATCACCTCTGGGTCTTTTTGGACCTTTTCCCAAAAAGCATTCATATGTTCTTCCTTCCTAACTCCAGAGACAGAACTATAAATTTAAATGGGAGATAGCTGCAATCAGTTCTTTCATAACCTAAGGTTTATACACCTTAGTTAGAAGTCATATAAGGAGTATCTGTTGATAACCAGCCGTATGGCTTAAGAACGTCAAAGATCCACCGTCTTTAAAAACATGAGTGCCAGAGCTGCACCAGAGCACTGACAGTATGATGCAATTCTACTTCAGTGAATTCATAATCAAAATCAGAATTTAGTTTATAATCTCCAAATTTTAAAACAGTTTGGAATGCCACTTTCCATGCTAATAAGACCAAGCTAAATTTAAAAGCCATCCTCTGCTGCCATAACTGTACTCCTGAAATTGGAAATGTTGAATGTGTAGGGATTATGCAAGATTCAAATATTTATATCATTTGTAATTTAGTTGGAATAATAATCTCATTTTTAATGTGTTCTTAATGATTATTATACTTCACTTTTGTAGTCTTTGGTTTATATCAAACTAAATGTGTCAAATCAAGTGTCAGAGTAAGTGTATTTGTGAACTTTCTATTGCCTAAATGAACTGCAGCTGTGTATATTAAATAAAATATTTCAGTGAAACAACTGTTGGTCATATAACTGTATTGAAATCTTGGATTTGCACAACTCTTGAAATCTAATGCAAAATTATTTAATATGGCAGGAGTTTTGTGACCAGTGAGTCATCTTGAAGTTGGAAGTTGCTCCCTGAAATCCAACAGAAAACAGCTATTACAAAATTTGTTATATACATGGGGGAAAAAAATGAAATGGGAACATCTTTTGAACTGTCTACTTTAAAGTGATTTTGTCAACCTGTTTAATTTTGCTTCTATTAAATGGTCCACAGCATTGATAAATTTTCAACTCATAGGCCAGTGATCCACCAAAAAGCCAGATATTGCTGTTTCTGGTCTTGGAAGTCAGAAAGTGATTGGGCTGGACACCTTAATAAATGACGAAACCCCCAGCCTGGGGCTGGCTGTCGTGGCTTGCAGGCAGTGTGCAGGCGTTGTGACACGGGCCGTGGTGGGGCAGCGGGCCCCATCCCTGCTGATGGTTCTCACCAGAATGGTTCAGTTGCAGTCATCTCTCTGTGCCTGTGGCCTCTTTTTCTCGCTTTTAGGAGATGAGTTTTTTCGGGGTTATTTCCAAACCAAACTGCTCCAGTGAGGTCCAGTTGTGGAATAAGACTTCCTTTGTGGGGTAATATAAATAATGAAACAGAGAATGTAAAGTGTCTAATGCTTACTGCTGTAGAAGGGCAATGTATATATGCTTTGATCTGCCCGAGTTTGGTTATATATGTGTTATGTATGTGTTCATCTGCTGAAAACTGTTATTTTACTGAGAGCCGAAAGCTGAAATCTTGTGCCTTTGCCTCAGAAACATGAATGCAGTGCTTTTGAGGGTGGTACTAGGGCAAAGCTCCACGCTGACCTTCAACAAACAGATTTTATGTTTTGATTTAGCTGGCCGTTGCTCAGATTTGCAAAGCCTAAGGTCATGTGGTTATCGTCCTAATATTGATAATCCAGCTGGAAGTCGGGCTCCAGTGTGGCGGACACAGTTCGGGTGAGATAGGAAGGAGAGAGTCCTGCACTGGAGCCCTTGCAGCGGAACGTGCAGGAAACCAGTCATCTTTAGGCAGGAAAAGGAATGTATTCAGATGTCATAAAGTCATGTTTCTGCCTCTGCTCTGTGAAGTTTCCAGAGAAAGGCGCTGCTGTGAGCCCAAGGCACTCTCCGTCTCACAGGTCCGGCCCCGGCGGGCTGTCACACCGCTATTCTTAGCCGGTGGCTCTCCCTGGGCCGTAACCCGCCGGCCGCGGCTATAAAGCCTCCCCGGGGCCGGGCACGGCCCAGCGGCTGCCGGCGGCGCCGGTGCGGGCCGGGCGGGAGCGCGGAGGCTGCGGTAGGTGCGCGGTGGCCCT